GCAATTTAAACACCTAAAAATAGAAGAAAAATAAAAAAGAACTAACCCATGGTTAACCCCCCTAAACAAACATAACTAAACCTCCCTCTTTCACTCACTTCCCCTTGTTCAGAAAATTGAGCATTTGTGAAATCTCTCCAAATCTCTCCAAATTAAAGGTATTTCTCCAAATTGACGACTGATACTTCCCATCTATACTCAAATCGATTCAGGTAAATTATCAATTTGTTTAATTTCGCTATCAAACATATTGTCTAACTGTTTTTGAATTCCAGGGTTTAACGAATTTTATGGAATTCGCAATATAGGGTTTTTTTTATTGCAATTTTGATTAACAAATTTAGGGCTATTGTATACTTCTTTGAATTAAACTATGATTTAAACATAATAAGTGATTGAAGTTTCTGTTTTTGTTGTTGACTTTGTAATGGTGACAAGGAGATGTTTAAGGGAACAAGGTCAGTGGGTTGAAAATGCAAGTGTGGGTTGAACGCTTCAATTAGGAATTCCTAGACCAAAGAAAACCCTGGTAGGAGGTTGATAGCTTGTCCAAACTGTGATGCGTAGAACAATACAAGAGGATGCCCTCATTTTGTGTGGTATAATGAAGAAATGACAATTTGGCAAAGGGACTTAATTTTGGGGCAGCTAAAATGATATTTTGAAGAAACAAATTGCTGATGTGAATCGTAATGCAAGGAAGATGAACACTCAATATGTGATGCTGAAAATGAGGCACACTGCTGCAAATTTAGGGGTTGTTTTATGCATTAGCTTACTTGTTATTGTCATTGGGTTTGTATGATGTTTTGTTAAGTAGGTTGTGTTGTTGTTGGGAGCTGGTTTATGTTGTTATTAGGACGTAGTTTGTGCTGTTGTTAGTGATGTTGGTGAAGTTAGTTATGTAGGGTATGCTAAGGCCAAAAATAGTTGTAACAGATTTGGTTTGAAAGAAAAGAAAGATGATTGACATATTTATGCTTATTTTGTGTGTCTTGATGCTTAAAACTGTAGCATAGATGGATATAGACATATTGCATCAATAATCACATCCTTAAAACCATACATAAAAGTAGTTAATTGTTGTTACAAAAGTGAATAACTAATTTCAAAAGTTGCAAATTCTAACAAGTCTGATGAATGTATTGTCAATAACTTGCATTATAAATTAGGCACAACAAATTTGTAAATGACAAAAGTCATAAGTTCACTGAAATTCCAAAGACTACAATTGTATAAAATGACCTAATTTCCTACATAACGGCTTAAGCTACTTGGGCGTTGTGAGGGGCCTATAAAGGTACTGTTTAAAGCTTGAGAAGAGATATCCACCACATCATCCTGAGTTGCTTGTTGTGTTGTTGATTGTTGCTGCTAGAACATCAAAAAAACAAAATCAAGAATTGAATTTGACAACAATACATTTATAAGTAAAAGGTAAAGGTTATACCAGTTTATTAGTTGCCTTTCCCTTCACTTTCCCTTGTGCTCTATCCTACCTGTCTTAAATAACCCAAGGGTCAGTTAAGAATGGCTTACCTCCCTTGTTATTTGGTTCTGGAGATGGTGGGTCAACATACTCATTCTTGCAAGTTTTTCTGTTATGACCAAATTACTTGGCAATTGGAACATTTCCTAGGGTTCCCACCCAACCTCAACTGTTGATGAGCTTCTTCAACAGCCTTCTCAGCATCTTCCTCTGCCTGTTTTTTTTTTCTCTTGTTCTTTGAAGGCCTTCCTGGCATCATCCTGAATAGTGGACGAATAGGTTCTGGGTAAGGAGCATGGGAGGTATCACTAGATCATATGTAGCTCTATATCTGTTCTTGGAGTACACATCATCAACATAGTCTTTTAGATCACTTCTCATGTACAAGATGCAAGTATAACCATGATGGCAAGGATTTCTTGTTAATTTCCAGTTGCACATATGTGTGCCCCAAGATCAACTAGAAACCTATTAGTGTTGTTCTCAACCTCAAATAGCTCCTCAGTGCTTCTAGTCACAATGTTGTACTTTCGTATTCTCTTAGCCCAATCAAACTGTTTTTCGCATATGGCATAAACCTACCAGTCATTGCTTGCACTCCTTCCCTCTTTTGACAGTTTCTTTGCATCACATACCTTCTCATCCACTCCATATGTGTTAAAATAGGCTTGTTCCTAGCTTGTCTCAATACATTGTTTAAACTCTCACACATATTGTTCAGTAACATTTTTTACTTAGGATTGGTAGAGAAGGCATGTCTACTCCAACATTGAGGTGGAATAGCAGCCATGTAAGCATGTGCAGCCTCTGACATGGTTTTAAGAGCGAGCATGTGTGCATCAAAATCCAATTGATGCAATAAGTGTGTGTATATATATATATATATATATATATATATATATATATAGATATATATATATATAGATATATATATATATATAGATATATAGATATATATATATATATATATAGATATATATATATATATATATATATATTAAGCATTAGAATTTGATCCAAGACAATCACATATCAACTAATACAAATAAGTTTCCAAATTTAATCTAAATGATTGTTATACAATGATTCAAACATGAACCATCAAACTTGTCACAGTTAGATGTCATACCTTGGTTGTTGCTTTAGCAGCTTGCCATAGCAACTCCTTGTATGCAAGTCCATTCCATTTTTGCTTAAAGTTGTTCCAGATATGTCTCCAAAAGAATCTAACTTTAGCTTTTGGCACAACTGCTCTAAATGCTTCAAGTAGTACTCCGTGTAGAATTCAACAACAGATTAGGGTTAACTAAGCGAACTGGAAAAAAAGTGTAGAAATAAAAGGGTGAGAGAGCAATGACATGCTTACTTTCTGCCTATCTGACATGAAAGTATAACCATGCCCATCAATTGTGCCAAGGGCAGAAGCCAATAAGTCTAGAAACCATATCCATGAATATGTCTTCTCTACCTCAACAACACCCCAAGTAAGGGGATAAATGTTGTTGTTCCCATCAGATGCTACAACAACCAAACAAATTCCTGGATATGCTCCAGTTAGAAGACACCCATCTAATCCTATCAATGGCCTATAACCCATTTGAAACCCTTCCATGACATGTTTCAAGCAAATGAACATCCTTTGAAAAATTAGTGGTGGCCTCTCTATGTTGTAACACATACATATGGCCATACTCCCCTAATTTTTCTTCTTAATGGCACCAACATAGTCCCAAACAGCCTTGCACTTGTCCACCCCATCACCATACAACATTAGCTTTGCTCTTGCCCTAGCATACATAATCTGTAGTAACCACGAAACAATCCTGTCTCCCTCAACACTCTCTCACCAAAACCCTTTGTGAGATGCCAATCTTGGTCACTTCTCCAATCTTCAAAGTATTTTTCAACCAAAAATTGTGCATAAACCTTCCTATTCCTTTCATCAGTTCTACAGGTGTGCTTGAGCCTCATTCTTGTGATCATAAATGTGTCTTCTAACCTTTTATTTTTCCCTAAAACTTTGAAGTCACAAAGTACTTATCCAAAAGTACAAGCTTGCTTCTTTAATATTTTAGGATCCCAAGGGTACTTGCACCTTTTCTTATAGTAAGTGGTGACTACTTTCTTGCCATTATGAAGATAGTAGTAATCATAATTGTTCTCATATACATGCTGCCTGAGTGCTTTTTTGAAGATCTCAACAAATGCAAACCTTAAACCCAATCTCAACCTAATTGGATGGTAGAAATCAGTTTCTGCATTAAATACAGGACAGATGTTCACCTCGTCATCCGACCCATCTAGGCTGCCAAGTTCTTCTGAATCTTATTCAAGCTCATCATCCAAATTTAACCCACCCTCAAGGTCTTTATTAAGCTTTTGCTGAACCCTTAGTGAATCTTGTTAAAATTTTAGCTGCTTGCCCTAGTGAAGTGTTAACTCCTTCTAGAATTTCCTCCCTTTAACCCGCAATAAATAAATCTTCATCAACATTTTCTTTTAGATCTTCTTCTTGCAAAGGATCATCAGACTCACTCCCTTTGTCTTTTTATGTCCTGATTTCATAATCATGATCAGACCACCTCCCTTCCCCCTTACCCTTACTCTTGCCCTTATCCTTACCCTTACTCTTGCCCTTCCCCTTATCCTTACTGCTACACTTTCCCTTGCCCTTAGTAGCTATATTGTTAGTAAATGAGACTTTTAGTGTTCAGCAATTAGTGAAGAAATTAGTGAATAAAATTGAATGTACTAGAGTTATTAAGATTAATTGAAATGCCAAAAGTTGTGACTCTTCATTGCATCACAATAATGTAGAAGGCATCCCTCACCCCTGTATATTGTACTCTCGTACATATCAACATAACATAAGAAATTTTCCTACTTTCTTTTCTACATACACTTTTCCAGCTTTATTAGGAGCCTTATAATCTTAAGGGCCTGGAAAAAAAATCCAGAAGGTAAGAAGAAGAAACTGAGCAGTTGAAGTATGGCTTCAACGTCAACCTCTTCCATAACTTCTATGCCAGCACCTCCTATTTTCACAGGAGAGAATTATGATTATTATTGCATAAAAATGAAGCTTTTCTAAAAGCAAGTGCTTTATGGGAGATTATGGAAATTGGTTTTGTACGAAAACAAGGAGTGCAGTACACATAAGCACAATTAAAGAAGATAAGTGATGATGAAATGAAGGATGCTAGAGCCTTATCTCACATCATCAATTGTGTTCTGACACAATCTTCCCCAAGATCAGAGAGCCTCATTAGCAAAATAAGCTTGGAGTCTTCTTGAGGAGGAGTTCCATGGCGATGAAAAAATCAGAAATATTTGACTCAATACTTTGAGGAGTCAATATGATAATATGAAGATGAAGGAGAATGAGGATATAAAAGGTTACACTTCTAGATTCATGGAGGTTATAAACCAAATGAAGATCTATGGAGAAGAGATTTCAGATGCAAAAATAGGGTAAAAGATCTTAGGATCTTTGGTCAAAAGGTTCAACACAATGTCCACAATAATTGTTGAATCTAAGGACATCACAAAACTCAATGTGACGGAGTTGATGGGTTTGTTGCTTGCCCATGAGCATAAATTTACAAAGGATGATTTAGGGAAATCCCCACCCTCGGAGATTGCTTTTCTGTCAAAATCTCATCAAAAATTTCTATTCAACAAAGGCAATAACCGGAAGAATTAGGGAGACCCACGATCTGACAGAATAGATAAGGAGCAGCCATAATCAAAAGGGAAATTCCCTTCATGTGGTATATAAAATAATACAAATCATCTTGAAAAAGATTGCTATCACAAGGGGAAACCAAAGTGCAGCCATTGCAAAAAACTAGGCCTTTTCGAGAAGGATTGTTCGCACAAACAGAAGCAACAATTGTCAAACACAAATGCTCGTGCTTCCAATGAATCAGAATACTATTTGTTTCATGCACGTCAACCGATGAGTGCCTGTAGTAGCAAGGAAAGATGGTTTATTGATAATGGGTGCACATCCCACATGACAAAAAGCTTATTTTGCAAGCTTGACTCTTTCATAAAAGTTCCAGTTCATATAGGGAATGGTGCTGTTGTACAGTCCACCGGAAAAGGCACAATTGGTGTTCAAACCAAGAAAGGTACGAAGTACATCAATGATGTCCTCCTTGTTCTAGATTTTAATGAGAGTTTGCTTAGTGTTTCTCATATGGTCAACAATGGTTATTCACTTGTCTTTGAGAATAACCATTGCACTATCACTAACTCCAATAAGAAAGAGATTGTAAAAGTTCCGATGGAAAATAAAAGCTTTCTCTTAAAGTGGGATTATCCAAGTGAGAATGTGAATGTTGCAAACTCAAGCGACACATAGCTATGGCATATGAGGTATGGACACTTTAATATCCATGCTCTTAATGAACTTCACAAGAAAAATCTAGTGAGAGATTTTCATGCAATTTGTGTATCTAATGATCTTTGTGAGTCTTGTCAATTTGGCAAGCAACATAGGATGCCTTTCCCTAAGGATAATGTGTGGAGAGCATCAGAAAAATTGCACCTTGTTCACATTTATGTTTGCGGACCTCATCGAACATTATCTCTTGGTGAAAACAAGTATTTCATCCTTTTTATCGATGTTTTCACCTGCATGGCGTGGGTGTATTTCATGAGAGAAAAGTTTGACATTTTCAGTTTTTTCAAAAAATTCAAAGCACTGGAAGAAGCTCAAAGTGGCTGTAAATTACAAAAAATCAGATCAGATTGAGGCAGGAATATACTTCCTCTAAATTTAATATTTTCAGTGAAGATGAGGGAATTGAACATCAGCTTACAGTGGGTTATACACCTCACAAAAATGGAGTTTTTAAACGAAAGAATAGAACGGTGATGGAGATGGCTCTCTGTATGTTAAGCGAGAAAAATCTGCCAAAAAATTCTAGGCAGAAGCTGTTCGCATATTTGTTTATTTGATGAAGAGGCTGCTCACAAAAGCGGTTCAAGGCAAAACTCCAATTGAAGCATGGAGTGGTAGAAAGACAATAGCAAAACACTTGAGAGTATTTGGATCAGTTTGCTATGCTCATATTCCATCTCAAAAGAGAAGCAAACTTGATGTAAAAGCCGAAGGAGGAATCTTCCTTGGCTATGATTCACAAGCCAAAGGATATCGACTTTTCAATCTTAGTGATGAAAAGATCATGATCAGTCGAGATGTTGAATTCGATGAAGATGCAAGTTGGAATTGGGAAGAAGAGAAGGTTGAGAAGAAATTTTTTCTGGCTGGCAGTGAAGTACATGATGAACCTAGAGATGAGAATACCGAAGAAGCTCCTTCCATACCTATACAAGCTGGAAATGGCACTGGTGAAACTAGTGATGATGATAATGCCACGGGTCCTAGAGGTAAAAAGTCTCTCTCAGATTTGTACGAGGAATGTACAGTCTTTCACCAAGATCCGGAGGAATGTGAAAGATGTTACCTTGGTCTTGAAGAGACCCAAACATATGAGCAGGATTTTGAAGACAAAAGGTGGAAGCAAGCAATGGAAAATGAAACCAATATGATCAAGAAAAATCAGACTTGGGAGTTAGTTGGTAGACCAAGTGTCGCAAAGTGATTTTGGTCAAGTGGGTCTACAAAATCAAATTGAATCCTAATGGGACCATAAGCAAGTTCAAGGATGGATTGGTCGTCAAAAGATACTCCCAACAAGCAGGAATTGATTATTACAAGAAAATTTTCTTTTCGTAGCGATTATTTTGCAAGGATTGTACATTCACTACAATATGCAGTATGTTTGTGAAATAATTAAGGAAATCGTATCATTTTACAATCGCCATGGTTTTCCCATATAAAATCGATACGGAAAACATAATACTACATATCCACACTTTTTTTTGCACATTTATAAAATTATGAGAAATCGTATCATATACAATCGCCACTAAATCCCAAAAATCGATACGAAAAGCCTTTTCTATACTAGATATATAAATATTGTGTGACAAATAGTTCATAAAATATGTCATACCTTATTGGTGAAACATTTAATATAAGAGTTTGAGGTTGCATGTTCGAATCTTGTAAAGATCATGTGTATGTTTTTTTTTTTTGAAGAAAATGAGTTTAACCTTTATAGTGATTATAATCGATACAATAATCACCACGATTGGATGTAGTTTTTCGTATCGATTATTGAGGCCAACCCCAACGATATTGAAAACCACTACTAAATGCTAAGGCAACGGGGGATATTGTATCGAATGACCATTCGTCGGGAAAGCTTTTTGTTGCAATTACAATCGATACTAAAGGTTAAAATAATCGCTACAAAAAGGTTATTTTCTTGTAGTGATATGGATATACATTTGCTCCAGTGGTTAGGCTTGACAAGGTGAAAAGTCTGATTGCTTTAGCAGCTCAAGAGAAGTGGAAGATTTATTAATTTGATGTCAAGTCTGCCTTTCTCAATGGTGAACTTGAGGAGGAAATTTACATTAAGAAACCTCCCGGATTTTCTCTTAAAGGGCAAGAAGAAAAAGTGTGCAAGTTGAAAAAGGCTCTTTATGGGCTAAAACAAGCGCCACGAGCATGGTACAACAAGATTGACTCATATCTATGTACTTGCACAAGGATTCATCAAAAGTAAAAATGAGCACTCTCTATGTGAAGAATCAAGGAGAAAATGATTTGCTCTTTATTTCACTATGTGTTGATGAACTTCTTGTTACGGGAAACAATTCAAAGATGATCCTGTCGTTTAAGGAAGAGATGAAAAGGAAGTTCGAAATGACAGACTTGGGCTTAATGAATTACTTCCTAGGGATAGAAGTTCAACAAGCTGAAGATGGAATCTTCATCCCTCAAAGGAAATATGCAAATGATGTTCTTAAAAAGTTTCATATGCAAAACTGCAATCCTGTTAGTACACCTCTTGTTGTGAATGAGAAGCTGTCCAGAGATAATGATCAAAGGAAAGCTGACACTAGTACAAGAGCTTAGTTGGATGACTACTTTTCCTTATAGTAACAAGGCTAGATTTGATGTTTGTAGCAATTTTTCTATCAAGGCTCATGAGTGAGCCAAGTGATGTTCATATGGGTGTTTCCAGAAGAGTACTCAGGTATATAAGAGGAACCTCATATTTTGGTGTTATGTTTAACATAAATGCAAACTTTAAATTGTTTGCATTTTCAGAAAGTGACTGGAGGTTCAAAAGATGACATGAAAAGTACTCTAGGATATGATTTTTCACTTATATCTGGAGTGTTTTCATGAATTTTGAAAAAGCAAGAAGTAGTAGCTCAATCCACAGCAGAAGCAGAGTACATTGCAGCATTGGCAACTGTTAATAAATTTGTGTGGCTTAGGAAAATACTTTCTGACTTGAGACACAAACAAGAAGAAGCTACTGAAGTTCTAATAGACAATAAATCAGCAATTGCTATTTTAAATAATCCAGTTTTTTTCAGCATGACAAAGCACATGAAGATTAAGTATTTGACGTAGGGAAAATGTAGGTCGTTATCTAATCTTCCCAAGAGCTAAACAAATTTATAAACACTTAACAAACCTAAATACGAGTATAGAGGTAAGTCAAGTGTCAAATTTAAGGGAACGGTAATGTTCAATCACTCTCAATTATGCGCCTAAGCTAGGTTGAAGTCAAAGGTAAGAGGTAACACTAATAACTAACAAAACAAACAACCAAACAAATAAAACACTAGGAATGGGGATCAACAAGTAATCATGACAATTTCAACAACTTGGGAAGATCATGTCAATCAAAGGTTGAGAAGACTAACGATAAGAGCTATCAATTGGAATCAAAGAGCTATCTCCTAATCATTAAGCTAGGATTCAATATGAATAAAAACTAAGAGAATCTCAATCCAAACCAATCGATAATTGCAATTCCTAAATCAATTGGTTGTGTCATTAGCAATTACAATCCAATTAGCATAATTCTCAAGGCCTAATCAAATTATGTTACGCATATGCAAACCTTCATTAATCACTTTAATCTCAACAATCAATCAACAAAATTCCCAAATTAATCACAATCAATCAATCAATCATACAAGTTTCACCAGATTTATAGCCAAACAACTACTACTCAAGAATAATCATCTATCAACAATCAACTAAAGAAATCAAGAATCAACAAAATATCAAGAACAATTACACTAATCAAGAATCAAACATCAAAATTAAACGAAACAAACATGAAATTAAACAAAGCAATAAAGAGGAGAGAGAGTAAGAAATCCTCATTGATTGATAATGGAGATATTCAATATAATTGTCATCTTGAATATTTGATGAGGGACATTATTTATGTCACTCTTAGTGATAATGTAGACACCCATTTGTGTCTCCCCGAAACCAAACCCAGTGATGAGTACCCTTCACGTCGAATCGTAATCGAATGAAGCGAAAGTGTGGAAAGTCTAGTGTTGCGGAAAGTTTTATTTTCTCTTCTCTCTGTTTTTGAAAACTTATTTTAAGAAAACAGTCAATCAAGTTTGGTTGGTCCATGATATGGGTCCAAGAATAGTGTAGTTGGATGGGGCTTGCAAAGACCTTTCCAACGATATATTATAAGCCCAATTCCGATGAATATTGAGGAAGTTATGGCCAATTTACCAAACTGGGCCCGATTTGAGCCTTATATACGGCCCAATGATCTAGGGGAGGGCCTAATATGATTTATCATTCCTAATGTAATTAGGAATGATTTTGGTCTTCTAGATTCTTCTAGAAGGTTCTTTTCATTCCTAATTCAATTAGCATTGATAAATTGACTTTTGTTGATTTTTCAGAGTTTTAATCAAAATCAAATAGCATTTTCGAGGAAATTATATGATTTTATCCTCCAGTACGGTAAACTTATCTGATTTTCGAAAACGCGTTAAAAACAGGCTTGTCGCCTAACCCCGGGCCTTGGCGCCTAGAACCAGGCCTGGCGCTAGTGTTGGTGCCTGGTGCCAGTTAGCCAAGGGTCGCGCCAGCTCTGTTTTCTGTGCGTCAGACTCTGTTTTGTTTAATTTATCTTTTTGGCTAATTTTCTTTATAAATATCGTATTAAAAACTCCGTTTTCATTCATCATCTACATCCAATTCTCACCTACAATTAGCAATCATTCATTCTCTAATTCTCTCTTAATCATTCACCAATTTTCATGATCTACAATCAGTTTTAATTAGCATTCATTCATCGTTCTTCTCTAAACTTTGTTTTTTCATACAAAATTCCGCATTCGCTAGATCTAGAAACACCTACCCATATTCGAAGTTGCCTTCGCCCTAGACGTGAAAGGTTTAATTTATGAGGGTTTGGTCCCAAGTCTCTATTTCAATTATTTAATTTA